AAATGAACTGAGGTTCACTGGTTGTCTAGAGCAATAACAGAGTCCACATTAAAGAGACACAAAAGAAGACTAATTTCCCCAAGACAGATATTCCTGGTTTAGGTCTTTGGCTGGATTAACCGATCAGGGGTAATCATCTAGTAAACAGAGAAGATCCTTTGCCTCCTCCGATACACGCTAGTTATCTTGATTGAGAAATGTTCTCAGGTGTGGACAACATGGGTCGGCCCAGCCACCAGCAAAGATCCTCTCTATGACAGGAAGCTCACTCACGCAAGATAAACAGCAAAACCCCAGAGACTCTAACACTATTCACTTTCTGAGGACAGGACGACGCATTTTACAGGTTAAAAATTAACTTATTAAATTGTTAATGAATTAATAATGTTTAGATTTGAAATATCTGTTTTTTGTTGTTTTGGATCCAGTGAAAAAAAGAAAATAAGGGTTGAAGGGTGGAGAAGTATCTCTTAAAAGGTGTTGAAGATGGAGTCTAGACATAATAATCATTCAACTTCAAAGCTCTGCCACTTAAGAGTTATACATGCTTAAATTTGATCTAACTGCATGTCCAAGCTACCTATCACTGTTTCATTTCACTCTATTGACCCTAATTCACCTGATTCACACCACTTAAAACATGTTCTCCACATTACCAACAGCTTATTCACTCCCCACAAGCTAAATAGGTATAACATCTAAATAACTAAATGATTTACAATGTTAATGTTTAGTGTGAGTACCATTAGACTGAATAAATGCAAGTGGTTGTACTCTACTGTCTCAAGATGCCTGGATATTCACATGTCTCTATTTTTATGCCAATAGATGTGAAAAGCCTATGTTTAAATAATGTTTGGTCCAAAGGCAGATGTAGATCTAATAAAGAGAAATAGTTGTCTGTTGTCATACATCTAAATGCTGTTCTTGGAACTGATGAAAGCCAAACCCCTTAGTTCAGCCATTTTACATAGTTAACATGCTACTTCCTGGAATTTTTAAATTCCTTCTTCATGCCGACGTCACATTGGATAGCTACAGGTGTCTCTTTGTATTGATCTTTAGTGAACCCTGCAATGTTAAGCTGATAAGCCATCATGTGTTTCATTGTTTGCCAAGGACCTTATCCCTATGTGGTGAACCCCCTTGGTGGTAATTTAATTCCAATCTGCACAGGTATTTATGTGGGGAAATCTTCTTAATGGCTTCAAAACCTGTGTGGTGGGAAAAAAGTATTAAACTATTCACTCCAGTTAGATAAACAGAGATCAATTGATTTTACTCAGTCGGCATTTTATTACATCTTTGCAAAGAGAGAACAAGACATCATACGGAAAGTAGGCTTAGTCAAAATAAATTTCAGACACTTTGAAACATTTTATGAATAAACCTTGAGAAAGGATCTGGCTTATTATGAGAATAGATACAAACACTCCTAATTTGGATATTGTGTGGCCTTGCAGGTGAAACAGACTGAGTAAAAACATTTTGACTACATAAATAGCATAACTCAGTTTATGAAATAACAGAAATCTAAATTTTCAGACCCCACCTGCAATGTCACACTTTATATTTTGGCTTTCTACAATTAGGCATTAAGACTTTACCATGTTACCTTGCAAGCAAGATAAATTGTAGTGAGATTTGTGAATTTCCAAACCCCTGAAAATACATCTTGCCAGGAGCCAGGAGATGCATTTTCTTAGATACAGAAATATTTTGCACCCATGAAATGCATTGACATCTATTACTTCCAAAAGAGGCAGCAGGCTGAAGTAAAACGATTCTGGATTCTCCAGTTTTAGTTGGAATATCTATTTCTTTTTCAAAAACAAACAGAAGATCTTTTCCTCTGTGGATGAAAAGATGTTTGCATACTCCCCTGTACTGGGTTTGGTAAGAGTTTGATCTATTAGTTAACTCTGCTAGTTTTTAAACAAATCAAGCTGCTACTGTCATGATTCTATCTAAGGCTCAGACCCACATGCAGTGAAGCCAAACAGAGAGACTCAGAGTAAAAGTTCAACGGGTTTTATTAAAATTATTTTGCTCGGTGCAGAGTTTCTCCGAACTCTGCTCAGCCGGAAACTGGAAGACAGTGAAATGACAGACTGTAAGATTCAGGCTCAGTGGGAAATATGATTCGTTGATCTTGAAGGAGAGGATTTGTTGCGACTCACTTTTCCAGAGAAGTGAGGACTCCTTGACTCCAATCTGTGTGTTGGTCCTCCAAAGTTTGTCTGATTCGGTGGAGGGCGGAACAGGGTTTAGCCAGAACTCGGACAGTGTAGAATGATGAAAACGCTGGTTGCAACTCAGTTTTCCTGTGGTACTTGAACGGGTCGTGGTGAAGATGGTTTCCTTACTCAGCGAGTGATCTCAGCGATTTCAAAGGTGGCTGGGCCGGACCTCCTGTTTGGAATCCGTCGCTCGATGTAAGGCTCAGTTGATCCCTCTTGGGAGAGGCGGTCCGAAAAGGTCCAATTTGAAGGAAGGCTTCCTGCCGAAAGGCAAAGAACAAAGAAAGTTGAATCTCAGGGAGACAAGCACTCAGTCAAACTCAATGTGATCTCAGCTTGGCTAGGCTTTTTACGTAAGGCTTTCCAGATCGATTTGTTTAGTGCCATTTAAATTCTTAATCTGTTTTATATCAGTTTTTTTATCCAGGGCTGCATTCCAAATTTTTTGTAAGGAACTGAACTATTGTTTGATTATCATCGTCATCATAATCTATATCATCATCATGAACAATTTTATTTGTAGTTTTAAAAACAGCAAACAGCTGATAGCAAAGTGTTGAACATAGTTAAGCATAACAGACACAATATAAGAAAAATATAACAAAATGCAGCATGGACATATGAAATGGAACAAGTGTAAAATGTGAGTGATTAAGTCTTTAGTCAAGTTTTAAAATTTGGCAGGGAAGTTATAAAGAATATTTAAAAATATTTTTCTTTCAGTGATCAAAATGTTGGTGTCTAGATTGTAATTGTTGGCCATATGGGCTATAGGCAATAATTGTTTTAATATTGATGTGTGTAGGCACTAGTAAATGTTTACTCGTCATATAACCTAGTTATCTGTTCACTTAATGGACTTTTTGGAAAAAGGTTATTTTTTTACAAGTTTTACTTGTTCATATACTTTGTCTAACTTGTAAGTATAAAAAATATGTAATTAATTATAATATTAGTATGTTAAATTTGTAATTTCTTTTATGATTTTTAATTGTAACACAAAGTTACTAACTACCTCACTTTAAATGCAAGGCAAGATTAGTTTATTTTTATAACACAATTTGGTACATGAACAATTCAAATTAAAATAAAAAAATAAAAGCATAATAAAAGAAAGATAAAAACATGACAAAAGCAGGTATTTAAAAGTGTTATGTAACCTCACAAAAGGTGCAATTTTTTTTTTGTTTAGCTCTTATGCATCCCTCTTGCTAATGCCGCCCTGGGTAATAGTTAAAATCCGGTTAAAAAAATGTCTTGTTAGTTAGCATTAGGCTGAGAAAGAACTAATTGCAATTATTATTGTTTAACAGAGACCTTTTGACTGTTCTGCATGTCTGACGCCTGATTCATGCAGATGCCCTTATGTGTGTGTCTTCTGTTCCATTGCTTATATAGGCCTTCCTCTTTAATGTGGTAATTCCAACCAGCTCTGTTGTGTTGCAGCATAATGGAAAGTCCATTCTGTTTTCCGTCAGATAGATATGGAGTCTGTACATCTATTTTGGCTGATCAGACATAGATAGAATGAAGCAGATTCTGTACAAGAGGTGATGCATTGGTTAATCTTACGAGCTTCGAAGTTTTAACTGCTGCATCTTACAGGGAATAATTGAGTACAAACAAAATGCTCTTTGAATTAAGCAGATCTTAGGTGTGTCTCTTTTCCAGCACATCTGAATTAAATACAAATATTCCAACCATTACATTTACCTAGGACTCCACAGATCTGTTAATCACCAATTTACTCCTAAACAACATATTCTCATTATCAGTGTGTATGAAATCGTACGAAAAGTTATGCACACTATTTCGAACGTTTTGGAAGTTTTTCCTCAAAAAACAGATCAGTGCGCATGCGCTGGCAGACAGAAAAAAAAAGAAGATCCGCGGACGGACGTAAGACTGGGAAAAACAGTGCAATCATCACTTATTCATGTCCCTAACTACGTTGCTTGCTGTTTTATATCTTAGGGTTAGGGTCATGGTTAGGGCTAATTGTAATTTATATTCTATATTCGTGAATGGTGCGTCAGATGCGCATGCGCATACGACGAAAAAAACGTCCAAAACGTACGAAATTACGGTGCATAGCTTTTCGTACGATTTCATACGCACTCATAATGAGAATAGGTTGTACTAAAACATGCAGGACTTGGGTTGTGAGGAACCAAATTAAACCTCAAGCACAAACCTCAAGACAAATTGAGAGCATCTAGAGAAAGAACAGGATAGGAGGCAAGACTGAACCCTGAGAAAGAACAAAAACAAACAATCTTTTTGGGAAGTAATTGTTTCAGAGGCTGACAGATTTATCTTACCAAATTTGAAGTGAACCAGTATACCACTAATAGCACACTGTGTGATGACATTAAGATGTATAGGATCCAATAAACAAGGAGGACTGTAGGGACAGTCCCTATAGTTATATGGCAGAAGCAGCTTCTGTATGTTTGGCAGGGCAGACTGCATATCGTGCCCATTCTTGAAACTGTATTACTTGTCTGATATATTTTGCTGAAGGTATAAAATACTATTCTGAAAATGTATTTATTCTTGGACAAGCTGTTATGTTAATATGTTAGTTAACAGATGGGGTAAAAATGAATAATACTGTTAGAGTAATCGTTAGACTGCCTTTTTGATTAGAGAGAGTTAGAAACATCTCATTGGACAGCAATTATGATGGCGTAATAGAGGACGGTGGTGAGAAGTTTCTAAAAGGATCCTGCACAGGGACCTCTTTGGCAAACAGCATCAGCCACTGATGCACCACCTGCCTGTAAGTGTCTATTGAAAGAATTCACAGGAGTGATGCTGTAGAATTGTTCCTCTTAAAATGTAATTAGATGCATTTTCAGTTGTCTTCTTTGATATATGTTTTTTAATTCTAGGACATGGACTCAGAGATGACCCTGAACACCACTGATATTGTGACTTACACACATCCATGCTATGAGATTATTGATGTTGGTTACAAACTAACTTCAACTCCTTCAGTTATATGTGTGTTGTTGTATTGTTTTCTTATGCTTTTATCTATTGTAACTGTATGTGGGAATCTCCTTGTAGTGATCTCAATCATTTACTTTAAGCAACTGCACACACCCACAAATACTCTCATTCTTTCTCTGGCTGCTGCTGATCTTCTCGTTGGGATTTTAGTATTTCCTCTCAGCATGGCATTCTCTCTTAGTTCTTGCACTTACAATGAGAGTTTATTTTGTAAGGTCAGAGACAGCTTTGATATATTGTTTAGCACATGCTCTATTATGCACCTGTGTTGTATTTCAATTGACAGATATCATGCAATTTGTCAGCCTCTGACGTATAGGTCCAAGATCAACCGTCATGTAGTCTTCATCATGATTGCTGTGAGCTGGGGAGTTTCTGCTCTCATTGGAATTGGTGTGATAATTCCTAGATTAAAGAATGAACAATGTTTGGAAACCTGTTTTGTTGATGTTCTGATGGCAAACACTGTGGGACCTATATTGTCATTTTACCTTCCAGTGGTTATAATGCTTTGCATCTACCTGAAGATTTTTCTTGTAGCACAGAGACAGGCACGGAGCATCCAAACCATAACAAAGTCTGCAGCAACTGCCAGTAACATGGAAAGAAAAGCAACCAAAACTCTGGCAATAGTTTTAGGAGTTTTTCTGTTTTGTTGGACACCTTTCTTCATTTGCATCACTTTTTTACCTTTTATCAATAGTCCAGTGCCAGTGTCGGTGATTGAAACTCTTAATTGGCTAACTTTATCCAACTCTATGCTTAATCCTTTTATCTATGCTTTCTTCTACACCTGGTTCAGGTTAGCCTTTAAAATGATTGTTACTGGAAAAATACTTCAAGGTGATTATGCTAATGTCAGACTGCACTAATATTAGTGTATAAAAGTTTTTTTTTTTTTATTGTAACATAATTGCACAAGATTTTTTGTACTTCAGTCCTGCTCTATTTAAAAAACTCCAGCAATGATAACCAAACTAAAACCTGATTTATTGTTTCTGTTTACAAATGTATCTTAAAGGAAGGCCTTTTTATGTTCTGGCATCAAATGCAAAGGAAGTAGAGTTTTCCTTTTGTCTTCAGAAAACTGGAGGTCCTATTTTTGTTTTCAGCTTAAAAAAATATACCTTTTTCATGGAATTAGATCATATGTGAGCCTATTCATAACCATGGGATATGGGTTGTACACAATAGTTGCAGCTCTAAGTTGTTACTGCTTTGGCTAAGGAGTAGAAACTTAAAAAAGGAGATCATAAAAAATGTATTATTGATAATATTTATTTCAACATAAAATAAATGAAATTAACCTCTTAGAGCAGGAACAGGTCTTGAATAGATTTTTTTGGTTTCTAGAAAGGAACTTGCCACACTTTTACATGTAAAAGTTTAGATTTTTAGGGGAATCGAACAATGTAAGTGCGTTTTGATATGAGCAAAGTTTCAGGGATGTCCCGGATTCCAAATACACCCAGAAGTTTTTCAATTTACAGCTCCAACATAGCTACTGTTCACAACAAGTTTGAAACGCCGATCAAAATGAGGGACCAAAACAGGGCCGAAAGAAAGGAGTACCTTAGCCTCATCAAAAGCTTTCTGACAAAATTGGGACAAAATAAACTCTGAAATTATTTAGTTTATCCATTAGAAGCACAACATTTGAAAAGCAGAGTGAGATACGTAACGGAATCATTGTTTTTCATAGATATTAGCATATATAAGGAGAAAAATGTCTATAACTACTGGCTTTGAAATATAGTCCTCAAAAGATACCATTTTAGTTCTTTAAATTTGGTTAATGATGTAGAACCAAAAGCAGCTAAACGAACCTAAGTCTGGTTTGAAAAGGCATCTATCCAACTAAATTCAGTCAATGTTTGGTGATTAAAAACCTGGATGACTATTGTCTTCAAATGCTAATAGCTCTTTAAATCCCAACTCCTTAGTTTCCTTTTCACTGTAGATGACTTAGGTTTGTATAGCTATTTATATTAAAACAAGAATAACTGCAAACTCTGCCTTGTTGTTCAGGCTGAATGAAAAAAGAACTAAATAGTTTCAAGAGTTTCTTCTTAAGGATATATCTAAAAACAGTAAGTCAGTGTTGAGGTTTCCAGTATAAAAGTCTATCTGCATTGCATACTTTTCTGTTGGAAGCGGCCTAAAAAACATATTTTTTTTTATGTGTAACTTTTATGATTAATTCTTTTCCTAACATTTTTATGTGGATTAAAAGTACCTTTAGTTCTACACTCATCCACAACATGTGTGGTAAATTATATAAGCTTTCTTTTGTTAAAAGGACTTGATTGTTTGTCATTTGTTCCTTTGTAAAAAGACAAAGTTAATTTGAGTAGGATAAAATGCACTTGTGTTCAATCCAGTATGTTTTCTATAAGACTTCCTGTAACCTACATGCCACTAACTACTTTACATGTCCCCATAGTTAGTGAATCATGGGCTCATTGAAAATGTATGACTGATCTCATACACGTGATGATAACACTTTAACTTGCCTTGGGGATAATAAAGAGTGATTTGTCAGTGACTGGTCTCTGGGTTCCTGCCTGAATATCATTGGATGAGTTTTGGAATAAGTAACACAATAAATATCAAGAGAGGGTGATGCAGCAGCATGACAACAAGAGTGTCGCTCTGACTCTATTATGCTTTGGTTCATTCAGATGTGCTAAAAAGCTGCTTTGAGAGAAAGGCTTACTTGTTGTTTTACTATAATTAATATAACTGATTATTGTTTGAATATTTAGTCAATTTAAAGAGTAATGGAAGGTGATTTAGGTGTTTATATCAGTTATGACTTTCATCCTTGCTATGAAATTAACAATGTCTCTAAAACAATGAGAAGAACTTCTTCTGCAGTTTGTACTTCTCTCTACATTTTTCTTGGTTTACTGTCTGTTATTACAGTGCTTGGAAACATACTTGTAATAATCTCGATCATTTACTTTAAGCAGCTCCACACACCATCTAACTATCTGATCGTCTCTCTGGCTGTGACTGACCTGCTTGTTGGGGTTGTAGTCTTTCCTCTAAGTGTTTCTTTTTCACTCAGCTCCTGTCTGCATTACAGAAGCTTATTCTGCAAAATACGAGACAGCTTTGATGTCATATTGAGCTCAACCTCCATTTTAAATTTATGCTGTATTTCTGTTGACCGATACTACGCAGTGTGCCAGCCTCTGACATACAGATCAAAGATAAACAACAGTGTTGTTCTGGTTATGATCTTTATAAGTTGGGGAGTTTCTGTGCTTGTTGCGATCGGTTTTGTTATTGCAGAGTTAAATCAGGACAAATGTCAAGATAATTGTTTTTCTGATGCTGTGCTTGAAAAAATTTTGGCCCCTGTTATCTCATTTTATTTACCAGTGATCATAATGCTGTACATCTACCTGAGAATATTTCTTGTTGCACAAAAACAGGCTCGCAGCATTCAGATTACATCAAAGTCAGGAGAATCTGCCAGCAACACAGAAAAGAAGGCCACCAAAACTCTGGCTATTGTTATGGGGGTATTTCTAATGTGTTGGTTTCCATTCTTTCTTTGTTTTTCTTTTCAGCTATTAGGTGGTGTTTCAGTGATGGTGTATGAATCTCTTAACTGGCTTGCACTGTCCAATTCAATGCTCAATCCATTTATATATGCTTTCTTTTACAGCTGGTTCAGGTCAGCATTCAAAATGATCATTTCTGGAAGAATTTTTCAGGGTAATCTTCCTGACACAAAACTTCTTTGAAGAAAGTTTGAACATAAGGGCGAATATCCCCCCAGCCCGAAGCAGATAATACTAAACCTAGATCTATTGGGTAAAACTGAGACTTTTTTTAGCTGGATATGAATCAATTAGTTTATTGCATGGTGACAGAGATTGTTTGTGTGACATTGTCATATATATGTTTGTTTGTTGTTTTTTTTTATAAAACTGAAATAAAAAGAAATTGAGATTAAAGTGTTTTACATGCATACTGTATAATTTATACATTTTTCTTTACAATTTAATTTAAGACCTGAATGTTATCCAGTTATAAAATTAAACACATGAAGAAATAAGCATAGATATAGGTTAAAAATCTTAGCTGTGTAATAACAAAATGAAAGCATCAATAGAATAATGACGCAAAATGTTTTAGGAACCTGTATAAAAGGTAAGTCATTGCCTCCCATGTCATGTTATGATATGAAATTAACATGAAACTTAAGAAAAGGTATGATTCGTCTGGTAAAAATTTTATTCCTGTCTTATTATTTTCAGTTTTTTCTCTTGATCCTAAACAACATTGTCAGAGGAGTCATAAAGAGCGCTATACAATGGCAAACTAAAATTTTGTTTTTACATTTCTGTAGGCCGATACTTTACTATACTAAAGTGCATGTATGATCCCAGAGGCTATGTTGTCAGGGCTTGAATGCCCTGATAAACTGAAATTGGTCACATAAATAAGGTTTAAACTAGTCTAGTTCCTTTCATTCCTATAAAATATTCAAGTCTTTCTAAAAGAATATTATGATCAACTGTGTCAAATGCAGCACTGAGATCTAACAGGACAAGTACAGATACAAGTCATACAAGTTATCTGAGGCCATGAGAATATCATTGGTGACTTTCACCAGAGCTATTTCAGTGCTATGTGGTGTAATTGGTCGCACACTTGTTTGGCAACTACTTTCTCAAGTGTTTTAGATAAGAAAGCAATATTGGATATAGGTCTATAATTGACCAAGTCATCTGGGTCAAGAGATGGTTTCTTAAGTAAAGGTTTAATCACAGCAGCCTTAAAAGCCTTTGGTTCATATCCCTGTAACAGGGGGAGATTAATCAGATCTAAAATGGAGGAGGAGATCAAAGGGAATACCTTCCTAAATAACCTGGTTGGAACTGGATCTAACATAAACGTTGAAGGCTTAGATGAAGACAATAGTTTTTCTAACTCTGAAAGCTCAACTGGAACAAGGCAGTTTAAACTGGGTTCAGATTCTATGGCTAACTCAGATGCTGCTTTATCTTCCAGACATAAACCAATCATAGTTATAGGAGTGCTAATGTTCTTATTTGCAGATTACAGAGCTTAGGTGTGTCTGTTTTCCAGCACATCTGAATTAAATAATAGTATTCCAACTAAATTTACCAAGGACTCCAGAGGTCTGTTAATCACCAATTTACTCCTAAAATATGCAGTACTTGGGTTATGAGGAGACAAATTAAAGACACCTCCAGACAAATTGAGAGCATCTAGAGAAAGAACAGGATAGGAGGAGAGACTGAACCCTGAGAAAAAACAGAAACAAACAATCTTTTTGAGAAGTAATTGTTTCAGAGTCCGACAGATTTATCTTACCAAATTTGAAGTGAACCAGTGTACCACTAATAGCACATTGTGTGATGACATTAAGATGTAAGTGCTAATGATCATATTTTGAATAAAATCAATCATATTTATTATAAAGAATCCCATAAAATAATTACTGCTAAGAGCAGGTGGTATGGACAGTTCAACAGAGCTATGGCTCTGAGTGAGTTTGGCAACTCTATTGAAAAGATATTATGGATTATTCTTATTCTCCTCTATTAATGAGGAGAAATATGCTGCTCTTGCTTTACGAAGGATGCTCTTATACAGCAGTTAAGTATTTTTCCAGACTAGGTAGAATTCCCATAGGCATGTAGAGCACAATTTTCTCTCCAGTTTCCTAGCATTTTGCTTTAGAGTGTGCAGCTCTGCACCAAACCAGGGAGACTGCGTTTTATTTTAAATGTTTTTCTTTTTTAAAGGGGCTGCATTGTCTAAGGCAGTACATAGAGAACTGGCATCCCCATCAGCAAAATCATCAACCTGTGAAGTGGAATAAACTAAA